GAATCAGCAAATAGGCTAGCCCTAGCATGGGAAAATTGCTCAATCATGGCACTGCCACAATGGCTGAGCCAGAATTCTTTGTGAGATAGGGCTTTTCATTATGTATTGAGAAAAAATTGCGAACTCTGTAATATGAGCAATTGAAATAATCTTCACAAAACTAAAATATCTGGGAAATTTAATAAAGAGAATCAAAGAAAGTGTATAATAAACTAAGTAGGATGTAGAGACCAGGGTAACCAGTAAAAAATGTGAAACTATAAGAACAAAAATACAAAGAAATATGGTTTGAATCGTTTGACAAAAAAAAAAAAAGGAGGGCAAAGAGGAGGGTTGCAAATAATAGTTGATTAGGTTGCTTTAGAAATAACATTAAAGTCAATTGTAAAACCTCATTCTTGAGTTTCAAGAAACCACAAAGCCAAAGTAAACAAAATTGTTAGAAAAATATAAGCTATGATGTTATTTGACTCAACTTCTTTACAAGGACAATTCATCTTCTTTTCATGTCGCGAAATTTTTTTTTACATAGTAGTTAGGATGGACCCGAAACCACTCTGGTCCCTTAGGTATCGTTTGGTATGCATACGGGATGGGACAAAACAGAATGGGACGGGACAAGACGGGACGGAACTAAGAAGGAGCAAAGATGCCCTCGAATGGAAACAAGGAGGAAGAAAAAAGAGATGGAGAGGTTACAATTTTGTGTTCCACAGATGTGGAACAAGTCGTTCCAGGGGGTAAGGCGGAACGAAAATTCACCCAAATTTCGTCTCGTGGAACAGCGCGTTCCACCCGTTTTAGGCACACCAAACGTGAGACGGAACACCTCGTCCCACTCTATTCCGTCCCGTCCCATGTACCAAACGGTACCTTAGTGGACCGCCATGCACTGCTAGCTGCCACCATTCAGAGTTAACAAAAGAACAAAATTAGGGTTAGGGTTGTCGAATTAGGGTTAAGGTTTAGGAAAATGTGTAAACATAAGGTACTATATCTATAGTACGAGTTTTTCTCTTTTTAGTATTATTCATGGGTGGGTACGTGTAGATAAAAGTAGAGAGAGAAAATCAGAATGCAAAACAGCCACCTTGGTGGATCATGCGCTTCAAAGAACTGCTTACCATATTCCCTCATTTTTTTCTTGAAGAGCAAAGTCCCACAGGTTTTAGAGGTTTTTGGCTATTTTAACGTGGCTTCTCAAACTAAAGAAAATTAAATCATACTTGTTTGTACCATACTTGACCAATCCCGAAACTACCGAGCACCGGCCAACGCTATACTGTCAAGGACCCAGAAGAGTTCCCCTCCGACCAGGAGGCCAATCACTACTCGACACGTGTCAAGATTAGAAGCCAATCAGAGCGCAGCACGTGTCGACATCAAGAACCAATCATAACATGACACATGTCAATGTGACAAAGCTATAAGTTTTTCTATAAATAGGGGTCATTCCCCCACAATATGGGCTAATGCCATTTGTGTTAAATCATTCACAAGAACTCACTAAATTGAGAGCTTGATCATTTGTACTTGTGTAAGCCCTTCACTACTAATAAGAACTCCTCTACTCCGTGGACGTAGCCAATCTGGGTGAACCACGTACATCCTGTGTTTGCTTCTCTGTCTCTATTCATTTACGTACTTATCCTCACTAGTGACCGAAGCAACCAAGCGAAGGTCACAAAACCTGACACTTTCTGTTGTACCAAAGTCTTCGCTGATTTTGTGCATCAACAATACTCATTGCATGTAAGAATAAATTTGATCTTTAAAGAATCGAGGAAGATGAAGTTATTGTTGACTTCAATGGTAAGTTTCTACTCTTAATATACATAATGCATAATTGGCTTAAGATTATTGATGCCCAATATGTATGTATAACAGTGTGAACTTACTTATAGAGCAAACCAAAGTTATTCGCCCCCACTTATCTAGACAAACTTAATGATAATAATGTTAAGCTTCAATTAACAACAAATTCTGCTAACTTTCACTTACTTGAACACAATAAGTAATAAATTAATAATTCAACAAATTGCTTAGTCGAACTACAATTTGATTTACAAACATCAAAATGAATTACAACTTCACTAGAGGCATGATCAATTGGGGCAAAACAAAGCCAAAATTGTTTGATTCTACTTATCCACATAATGAATAACATGATCATCATTCAACCAATTGCTTAAACAAAAATCTTAAAAAGATCCATACATAACACCATGAATGATTATATTACAATTTCACAAATTGCCTTATCAAGTCTAAAGCGATTTAAAGCATCATAAGATATTAAAATTCAAAACTACCTAGCCTAAGGGTTGGTTTGGTATTGCTGTGCTTTGAAAAAAAACTGCTGTGAGAATAAGCGGCTGTGAAATAAATCAGTAGAGTGTTTGGTAAACTTTTTTGTAAAAGTGCTTTTGGAAAAAAAAAAAAAGCAGTCTGATAGTGAGTCTTTTCATTAAAGGAGCACTGTAGCTCCATGTGCTTTGAAAAAAAGCCAGTTTTCCAAAACTACAAATAGCAGTTTCAGCTTTTTCCTTTGATTTCAGCTTATTCTCACAGCAGCTTCCAAAATAAGCCTTTTTTTTTTAGTTTATCAAACACCTAAAACTCTCACAGTTTTTTTTCATGGGTGCTTTTTTATTAAGCACCTCACTCCCAAACTACCCCTAAATACCCTTAGACTTATATTCACATTCGAACACTTGATTCTCTTGTTGACACACCATGACCCGGATATCCACCAAAGTCAAGATGCGATGGCTGACACCTAAAAGATGACGAAGTCATATTATGAAAATAAAAAGTGTGAATAAATCAAAACTGAAACTTAAAACTATTGATGAGATTGCGCAGTGCGGAATTTAAATTGCAATTGTTATAGCATAACTAATAGTGCAGTAAATATGCGAAAAGTTCCCATCCTATGTAAGGATGAATATTACACAAAAGTACAAGAATTAAAAATTCTCACATTAATTGGACTGTACATTAGAACTGCCCAAAATCCTTTGTTCGCCAAAGAAATTTAGAGCTCATTTGGATGTACTTTTGAAATGATTGAAAGCGCTTTTGGTGAAAATATTTTTAGAACCAATTATTAGTAAAGATGCAAATAAATCTTGGAAAAACACTTGAAGTGCTTCCTGAAAGAATCATACAACTGATGCTTCTTGTAGAAAGCACTTTAAGTGCTTTTGAAACCCAAAAATATTTTCTCTAAAAGTGGTTTTAGTCATTTTAAAAGTACATCCAAACTAGCTCTTAGCTACTAAGTCTTGGAGGGACGCAAAACAGAAAGTTCGAGTGAGAAAAAATAAGTGTAATAAAACTTTTGTTTTTCCCAACATAATAACCAAGTAAAAAGATAAATAATAATAATTTTTTAAATTAATAAGGGTATTAAGGAATTGAAAATATAGATTAAAGGCTCAACTCAACTTTTTACGAAAGTAACGTTTAAAAGCAACATGCATGCTGCTTTCAAAGATACTGTTTGGAGGTTACTGCTTTTAAAATAAGCAAGATATTTTGTTTTTACTAGACATTTTTTTAAATGCTTAACTTTAAAGGAAATAGCTTTTGATGAAAAAACAATACCAAACGAGACCTTAGTTAGAAGTGCTTTTAGTTATTAGAAAGCACTTTCTAGTATTATTTTTCCCAAAAAAGGAACCCCAAACAAACCAAATACTCGTTTATGCAGTCGTTCTTTTATCTTTAATATCATTTGTATAAAACAAAAGTATAAGCAAGGAATGACTATATTTTAACACGTACATTACTGGTTGATATTCATGTTTACAAAGGAGTCAGAGTTTTTTTGTTGGATTTTCTCCACTTAAAAATGCATGGAATATTCATCCGTGTATTTCCTTATACAAATCAATGATATTCGTGCACACAAATTATATGGATTTATGAAACATTGGTGCAATTGTAGGTATTCACAAACTCCTACATTCTCCTCGTTTGGGTTCAAAATCTGCTACCTTTGGCGTTATAACCGCCACCAAATCCCTCTGAAGTTCTGAACCCACCTTCACTAGTACAATACCTTCTCTACCCTTCTCCAATCCTACTTGCGTGTAGCCAAACTATTTGTAAACCGTAACACAGATGGTACATCACGTATTTTTATATAAATGATGAGAAATTATATTTTGTAAGTTATTAACTTTTGAACACACATATATTACTATTTGTATAATGACACGTGGTATACCGCTCTGTGTTCTTGTCACATTAAAAAATCTCTCGTATACCAACGCACAACTTGGCCGCTTCTCTTTTCGCCACATCATTCCTAATGAAGGCCATTATCGTCATCCTGCTATTCTTGCAACGCTCAAACCTAACACCACCCGTAAGGAAGAAAATGATGCATCACTCGCAATCTTACAAGGACCCAAAATCATCACCAAAGTCTAACCACAATCTTATAAGTTATAACGATATAGTGTTTTTGAAATTGAATATATCATAACGTATATGAGTAGTTACGTAAACATTTATGTAGCACAAAACGAAAAACGGAACACAAAACTTAGACTACAATTACATTCAGTTCAAATTTAGTTGAAAACATTACAACTCGCCAATTTCCAACGATTACACATTTGGAAAAGAACAAATAAAACTCCTTGACAAACGAAAAGTTACACTTTTATAGCTGGTACACTACTTTACATAAAAAAAAAAAAAAAAACGAAACTGAATGCTGAAATCTTAATTTTACAACAAAAGCTTTTAGAAACAACACATACGAGGAGGACACATCTAAGTGGCTTGTTTAACCTTGTTTACAAAAAGAAAAACTTTGAGTAACCTTCCACCATGGTCATGTGGTTTCAACCAGTTCGTACTCAGTTGCATCAAATTCTAAAATTCTAGATACATATTTTATTTTATTTTATTTTTCGAGTTTGATTTATTTGATCGGTAGTATTCAATTTTTCACAGGTTTGACCAGTTGTGCTTTTGACAGACTCGGACACGCCCCACCCCACCCCCCCTAAATTTTCTCTTTGCAGGGAATTTTCTCTCTCTTCTGTTCCCTCCCTCCCTCCTTCGTCCGGTCCGCTTCCCCTCCCGTCCCATTCTCCGGCGCCGTTTCGTCCCTTCTCTTTTCTCTTTCACTCCCTAAATTCCTCTCTGAGCCCCTCTTCGTTTTTAAACCCGCCGTCGGTCTCTCCGCAACCAGCTTCCCAACAGTCCACGGCTTCGAGCTCTGTTTCTTCTTTGCTCTGAGTCAAAGATCAGAACTGGAGGTCTTAGGGTTTCGGCAGATCTGCGCCGCGTAGTGTACAGAAAGAGAGAACTGAGCGTGGTGGTTGTTGTTGTGGTGACGTGGCCGTTGATGGTATTGCACGGAGGCGCGAGAGCGAGTTGGAAGGTAGATGATGAACGGAGCTCCGGCGGGGAATCGGAGAGGGTGGTGGCGTTACGGTAATTTCTCTCACATGGAATGGCAGATCTTGTTAGCTACGGGAATGCCAACCGTGACATCGACCAGGTCGGTCTCTTTCTCTCTAAATTCTCTTTGCCTCTATTTTGTTTTTGCAAATTTATCAAAAAATACAAAGAAAATGAAATAAATTCCTATTTATTTGTCTGTTTAATTACTTAGAAAAGACGAAGATTTGTTTGTTTCCTCCTCTAAAAAGTGGAATTTGGAAGGAGAGCTCTTTATTTTTAGTTTGATACATTTAAGTTTTGTATGTATGTTAAAAATGTGAGGGAATTTTGATTTCGTAATTGAAAACAACTCTCTAGATATAATTACTGGGAACATAATCTTCAGGTATGTTACAATGTGAGGGAATTTTGATTTGGTAATTGATATACAACTTTTTAGATATAAATACTGGGAACATAATCTTCTCAAGGTTTTGGTTTTGAGGATCACTTCTGGGTTCGTTGTTTTCGGCTCAATGGAAGCAGTATGGGTGCTTTTACTGGACCAAACAGGGCCGAAGTTTCGAACCTTTTTTAATTTTGTATTTTTTCCATGTGCATTTTCCATATCGACAACTGGGTTTGCTTCGAGGCATATGTAAAGTACTGACATCTTCAAACGATAAATGTCTAGTGATTTTTGCGACAGAGTGATCTAATGGAAATGGCATTGCATGGAAACCACATTTTACTTTCTTCGCAGGGTGTAAAACCTGCTGCTCCATTTGGAACAGTTTTTATAGTAACTTTAGAAGACACATAGGGTTTTTTAATATCTTAAAAGTTTGGATTTAGCAATTTATTCTCTTAGTCGCAGGATAACGGTTATGAATTATGATATGTTTTGGGAGGTTGTAACTTGTAACTGAATGAGAACTAAGTTGGTATGCTTCTTGAGTTGGAAGTCACAAAGTCATTACTATATGCGGTATGGAGTTCAGGGTAATGTTATAATTAGAATAGCATTTGATATGGTGTAGAATTCTATATTCGAGTATAAATGATACTTCTCTTTTGTGTGGGTTATTATGGTCCTATGTTTAGTTCATACAGCGTTTATCCGCCCTTCATATCTTTCTCATGGTTTTGAATGATCCTTAAATGATTTTCAGGCAATAATTGCTTTGAAGAAGGGTGCTCAACTACTGAAATATGGTCGTAAGGGAAAGCCTAAGTTTTGTCCATTTAGACTTTCTACTGTAAGTTTGTATCTAAAGCTTCTCTATTAGGATTTATTTTTTATTTTTAAAATATTGGTGGTTTGTCCACTCCATGAAAGGAATAGAACATGGTGTGCTCAACTATTAAGGTTCGTCGTACCCAGTGCACAAGGCTCCCGCTTTACGCAGGGTCTGGGAGAGGTGAATGTCGGCTAGCCTTACCCCTATTTATGGAGAGGCTGCTCCCAAGTCTCGAACCCGAGACCTACCGCTCATGGGCGAAGGCATTTGCCATCGCACCAAGTGCGACCTCTCTCAACTATTAAGGTTGAAATAAAAAATTTATTCCACAATTCCTGCATGGACAAACAGTAAAATTTGTAAAAGGATGAAGTCAAGAATGCTACGAAACATATTTAATTGAATTCCCTGCTTAGCAGTGGTAATGTAGTGCCAATTAGGTAATTTCCATCTTCTCCCACAAGTATACAATTTCCATTTGTGCTTATGACGGAAAAGATAAAATTTATCAAGTTTCCCTTCTGCTAATTAAATTGATAACTGAAAGGGAAATCTGAGTTAATTTAGGTTCCGATCCATATGGCAGATTGGAACCAAAGGGTACAGTAGGCAGTTTGCCAGAATCTATGGCATATTTCATTTGGATAAGAGATTTGAGAACTTATTCGTTGTGTAGTTTGAGGTCAGTCAAGGCAAAATATGGTCTATAGTTCTTGGAGAAACATATCATTAAGAGCAACTCCACCGGGAACAAAATGTCCCAGCCCTCAGTCCAAAAAACAAGCCAGCCCTCAGTGAATTTGCTCCAGCCCACAAAATGTCCCAGCCCCCAGCCCCCAGCCCATGCCAGGCAACAGGCCAGCCCATTTCGGACAGACCCAGAGGCCGGCCTATTGGCTGGCGCGTGCAGCAGAATCGCGCATGTGCGCGAGTAGCAGACAAGGTTGCAGGCGGCGGGGCCCGCTTGTCAGCCCACTTGTGTTCACCCGGAATAGGGCTACGTGGCCCTCCTCAGTGCCGTTGGATTTCCAACGGCTATTTTTTGTAGACCGTTGGATTTCCAATGGTAAAAAATTTTAAATTTGACTTTTAAAATGGACCGTCCGATCACAGATCAACGGTCCACGTTAATTAACTAAATTAAAATTTATTAAAAAATACAGAAAAATTATTAAAAAATACAGAAAAGTTTAAAAAAAAAAGAAAAAAATTCTATAAATACCTAACCCTCATCTTCCACCTTACACCACATTTCAATATTTCCTACACTTTCTACCAAAGCTTTCATATACTTTTTGTGTGAAAAAAAATACCAAAAAGCTTGTGGTTGAAGAATAAAGTGTATTTGATGAGTTTATGTAATTTCATTTTAGTGTGTTTTTTTTTTATAGTTTATTTGATGAGTATGTAATTTTATTTTAGTGTGTATTTTTTTTAAGTTTATTTGAAATTTTATCCGAAATTGGTTAAAAATCTTATCCGAAATAAACTTTAAAAAAAAAACACACCAAATAAATGCGCTGGGTGCCAGCGCATTTTTTTAGGGGTGGAGATGCCTTGGTCTATTACTATTCACTCCAGTCTATTACTGTTCACTTGAGTGGATAAATGCGCTGGGTGCTGGCGCAAAGTCCTTAGGGGTGGAATTGCTCTAATAGCCACGAAGGTTTGATAGACTATACATTTCACCTTGTAAGGTATTGGAATATGTTAAATGTCAGTTGACATTAGTTGTGCTGCTACGTTGCTGCATAACCATGCTACTTTGTGTTTTGATGTATGCAATGTAAAATACTGCTAATGGGATAGCATTTCACTGGCCTTCTGTGGCAGATAGCATTTCAATGGCCTTCTATGGTTCTTGCTTGTGATTATATTTATTGCATTTTAATTCACAAATTTGTCTGCTTCTTAAATTCCTTCTATTTTCTACTTACTGCTGCATTTAATAATTTCAGGATGAATCAACTTTGATCTGGATTTCAAGTAGCGAAAGAAGTTTGAAGTTGGCTTCTGTCACAAGAATTGTTCCTGGACAAAGAACTGTGAGAAATTTGATATAATTTTTTAGTACATAGTTGGCATAGATTTACTGCAGTTTAAATTTTAAGTCTTCTAGCGATACTTATTCTAATTTCATCTTGCTCCAAAATTTGTTACAGGCTGTCTTTCAACGATATTTACGTCCTGAAAAGGACTATTTATCATTTTCTCTTATATACAATAACGGAAAGCGGTCTCTTGATCTGGTTAGTGGTGGAAGCTCAAAATTATTTGTCTTTACATTGTGTCCTATTTTTATTTATAATAACAATATTTATGATAATCTGTTATTTGCTTCCAGATTTGCAAGGACAAAGTTGAGGCAGAAGTGTGGATTGCAGGCCTTAAAGCACTACTTTCCTCTGGCAGAGGTGGGCGTTCAAAAATTGATGGATGGAGTGATGGAGGCCTCTACCTTGATGTAAATATGCCTACTTAGAAACCTCTTTTGTGGTTAAATTTTATGTTTTCTCTTGTCTTGCAGTGATCTGTGTTATACAGGCATCAACATGCTGTATTGGAGCTTTTGAGCTAAATTTGAAATGCTGAAATACTATGCTCAGATTCTTTTATTATTTTTAAGTTAAATTTTAGTATTTGATTCTTAAAGAAATTAAACTTCTCCTTGCATAGACATAGTGTTTTTGCATGTATTTTTGGATTGGCTTTTTATAGACATTTTTTAATCTTATTTTTTATTACTTTATATGTTTAATATATATATATATATATTTTTTTTTTTATATATATTCTAAATGAGTCATCCAACTTTATAGTTCAGTTCATATGATTTTATTGTAGTCATCCAACCTCTTTATGGTGAAATTACACACACGCACATAGACTTTGGATGTACGAAAGTTTCTCTTACATTTCGATATGTATACAAACCTGTTGAATGACTGCCTGCTTATCATGTTTTCGGGTACTTCAGGATGGCAAGGACTTGACATCAAATAGTCCTAGTGATAGTTCTGCTAGTGGTGCACGAGATAGTGGCTCTCCAGAGATTTCTGTTAATTTCAAACCAAATACTTCGCCTAAGAGTTTTCCCCCTGAAAATTCTCCAGTTTCTGAGAGGTCACATGCTGCATCAGACCTGACAAATATGCAAGTTAAAGGATCTGGTTCAGATGCATTTCGAGTTAGTGTTTCAAGTGCTCCTAGCACTTCAAGTCATGGTTCTGGACCGGATGATTGTGAAGCTCTAGGTGATGTGTACATATGGGGTGAGGTTATTTGTGATAGTGTTGTTAAGGTTGGGGCTGATAAAAATGTGAATTATTTGAGCCCGAGATCAGATGTGCTTGTCCCTAGGCCATTAGAGTCCAATGTTGTTTTGGATGTCCATCATATAGCCTGTGGGGTCAAGCATGCAGCCTTGGTCACGAGACAAGGTGAAGTGTTTACATGGGGTGAAGAATCTGGAGGACGACTAGGGCATGGTGCTGGGAAGGATGTTGTTCAACCTCATCTAGTTGAATCTCTGGCAGCTACTAGTGTTGATTTTGCAGCATGTGGAGAATTTCATACATGTGCTGTTACAATGGCTGGGGAACTTTATACGTGGGGAGATGGTACGCATAATGCTGGGCTACTTGGTCATGGCACTGATGTCAGCCATTGGATACCAAAGAGAATTTCGGGTCCTCTTGAGGGACTTCAAGTTGCTTCTGTAACTTGTGGTCCATGGCATACAGCCTTGATAACATCAACGGGGAAACTCTTCACATTCGGTGATGGCACATTTGGCGTCTTAGGCCATGGAGACAGAGAAAATGTTCCTTATCCGAGAGAAGTAGAATCCCTATCAGGGTTGAGGACAATATCTGTTGCATGTGGGGTGTGGCACACTGCTGCTGTGGTGGAGGTTATTGCAACACAATCTAGTGCAAGTATTTCGTCAGGTAAGTTGTTTACTTGGGGTGATGGAGATAAAAATCGTCTCGGGCATGGGGACAAGGAAGCCCGACTTAAACCGACTTGTGTTCCAGCCCTTATTGACTACAGTTTTCACAAAATTGCTTGCGGGCACAGTTTAACAGTTGGCTTGACGACTTCAGGACATGTTTTTACAATGGGCAGTACTGTTTATGGTCAGCTTGGGAATCCCAATTCTGATGGAAAGCTACCTTGCTTGGTAAGACAAACTCGGTGGGGATTGTATTGAAGAAATTGCATGTGGTGCTTATCATGTAGCAGTATTAACATCCAGGAATGAAGTTTATACATGGGGAAAGGGAGCTAATGGGAGATTAGGCCATGGAGATGTTGAAGATCGGAAAACACCGACTTTGGTTGAAGCTTTAAAGGATAGACATGTGAAATATATTTGTTGCGGTTCAGAATATACAGCAGCTATTTGTCTTCACAAATGGGTATCTGGTGCTGAGCAGTCACAGTGCTCTGCTTGTAGACAGGCTTTTGGGTTCACAAGGAAGAGGCACAACTGCTATAATTGTGGACTTGTGCACTGCCACTCATGCAGTTCAAAAAAAGCAACAAGGGCAGCTCTGGCTCCAAATCCTGGAAAACCATATCGAGTTTGTGATCCTTGTTATGTGAAATTGAATAAGGTGTCAGAAACTGGTAGTAATAACAGAAGGAATGCTATACCTCGGTTGTCGGGTGAGAACAAGGACAGGTTGGACAAGGCTGACATAAGATTATACAAGACTGCTGTACCATCGAATATGGATTTGATAAAGCAATTAGATACTAAAGCAGCCAAGCAGGGAAAGAAAGCTGACACATTTTCACTTGTCCGCTCTGCTCAAGCACCTTCATTGTTGCAATTAAAGGAGGTTGTTATGTCAACGGCTGTTGATCTGCGACGAACAGTTCCCAAACCAGTTCTTACACCATCTGGAGCAAGTTCAAGGTCCGTGTCCCCTTTCTCGAGGAGACCAAGCCCCCCTCGTTTTGCAACTCCTGTTCCTACTACATCAGGACTTTCCTTCTCAAAAAGTATTGCTGATAGTCTGAAGAAAACAAATGAACTTTTGAATCAGGAGGTGCTAAAATTACGCTCACGGGTAGGTTCATACTTTTCTGGACTTTATTGCTACTTTTATAAACCTCTTGAGAAGGGTGGTGGGTTTCATGTTTGACTATTTGTAGTTATTGTATTTTAATAATTTGATTGTAAATGTTTTTTGTAAGGTTGAGAGCCTTAGACAGAGATGTGATCGTCAAGAATTAGAGCTTCAGAATTCTTCAAAGAAAGTACAAGAAGCAATGGCATTGGCCGCAGACGAATCTGCTAAATCTAAAGCTGCAAAAGAAGTTATAAAGTCACTAACCGCACAGGTCATTTCTTCTGCTACTCGCTTTCATTTCCTAAACTTATTCACGATCATCAACTTTTGTGTCTTCTATTTAGTAAACGTTTAATTTAATTGTTTCTTTTTGAAATATTGAATTTAATAAAATAAACTTCAGTTCAGAGTAGAATAGTACATGAATGATGTAGGTTTATCTCTGTGAATGAAACTGTAGGCTGTAGCAATAAGGATCCAATGGTACAAGTTTTTCATACCTATTTTTTGTCAGTTGCAATCTTTTAAACTGTCGGACTTGAATAAGTTAAAGGGTGTTATTTACTATTGAGTTGGGTAGCTGAATACGTCTACTATTTTGGTTTTTATTTTTTGTTGGACTGCCATAGTGATCATCATCGCTGATAATAATTTCAGCTCAAGGATTTGGCGGAACGGCTTTCACCTGGGGTTTATGATACAGAGACCATAAAGCAGGCATTACTGCCAAATGGTTTGGAGCCAAATGGCATTAACTATCCAGATGCTAATGAAGAGCAGCATTCAAGATCGACTTCCATCAGCAGTTCTTACTTGATCTCCTCCTTGGGAATCGACTCTGCTACAACAAATGGAAATCACGGGCCGACTCTTTCACCCAAGGGTCAACTTGGAACAAACGAAACAATCGTGCAGCACAGTCGGGGCCCTCTCACCCCCAATGGGATGATAAACTCCCCAGATAAACTACCCAATGGTGGTGGATCATTTGAGACAGTTGGTAGTAGTGCGTCTGAAACTGTTGATGGCAGGGAATCCGGGCCTTTTCGAGATGGGGAGAATGGTGCGAGATCCATGAATTCTCCATCGCCTGCTAATGGTAATACAGTTGAGGCAGAATGGATTGAACAATATGAGCCTGGTGTTTATATAACTCTTGTGGCTCTCCGGGATGGAACTAGAGATCTCAAACGAGTGCGCTTCAGGTACTCTTGGTTTTGCTAGTTTCTTAATACAATAAATGTGTCAGCTGGTAGGCCAATGATCTCTTGATCATATTGGCCATAACATGCCACATACTCGTGCATAACTTTGCTGTTATGGATCAAAGATGGAATAATCTTGTAATTAAAGTCTGATAATATATATTTTCATTTGTAGCCGAAGGAGATTTGGAGAGCACCAAGCACAGATCTGGTGGTCGGAGAATCGTGAGAAAGTGTATGAGAAGTACAATGTGCGTGGGTCAGACAGATCTTCGGTTGCTGGCTCAGCTGCACGTAGATCAGACGGAGCTCTCTCACCGGCCTCATCTCAACAGGCTTAGTAGAGGAGGGGAAGGAGGAGGGCACTACTCCGTTAACTTATTTTGTATGAATTACTGTGTAGGTGGTATTGAGAGGAAGCAACAAAAGGGTGGCGGGTATGAAGGGAAGCATGCAAACCACCTCTTTTGCCTTTAATTTTGTTTCTCCCCTTTCATTCCTTCCCAATTTCACCCTTTTTTTTGTTTTTTTGTTTTGTTTTTAGATTGATTTTCTCTCTTCCATTTAATTTATGGGTATTTACCCTTTTATACACCTGTTGTATTGTAGTGTATATAAAATCTTCATTTATGAGACGATGATCTGAGCAAATCAAAGTCTCTTCTTGCTCTTCCATACTTTTGGTACCTTAGTTTTTGTCTTGTGAAAGTCATCTAAACTTGGTAGCGAACCGATTAGCACACGCGTAATGCTTAGTAACTAACCTTATGATTATTGTAGGTAATCCAAACTGATTGTTCTTTCTTGAATGTTAAGTCAAAATGAAAGGTGGTGTTGAATATAATCTTTAGGGCTCGGTTGATAGAGATGATTAGCTTGGATAGGATTGTTCACCACATTGAAGGCTTTTTAAAGGGAGAAATGAATGACATCTTTTTTATCTTGTTCAAGTTGAAGGTTACTCATGAAGAAAAGTTGTCCTTTTTAATCCTATAATTTATGTGAGGATTAGTAGCGGCGGAGCTAGGATTTTACGTGAAGAGGGGCTTCACATAAATGTTAAGAGCTAAAATAACTAGATAGTACGTATTAACAAGAGACTACAATACATGCTTGGAATTGCGAGCTAATTGAATTTTTTGAGGCGTTAAGTGCTTTTTTCATGTTGAAACTAACCTTCCAATATCAAGTCAATATAGAGATTATTTATTATAAAATTAAAGAGGATTAAGAGAAATAAAACCTCCAACATCAAGTTAATGAAAAATAGAATGGATTGGGAATTTTCAAACAGAAAATGAGAAAAATGGATTGAGTATTTAGAGAACAAAATATATGAAAATTTTATAAATTTAGTAAAAAGTTTAGAGTAAACAGAGAGATTCATAACCCTTAATATTGTTGTGGGTTGGAATTTGGAGCACAAAATATATGAAAATTTCAAGAAGGAGAGGAGGAAAAACTCAAAGTTTATTATTCTTCAGTTGGATAATGTTAAAGAATATTTTTTTAATAAAATTAAATCAGACTTTAGATTTTAATTTTGAAAGATTGATTTGTTTATAAAATAAGATGTTAAATTTAGTTTTAAGATGAATGGGGTTGGAATTGAAAAGAAACAGAGACCTCTTGTTTCAATTATTGGTGAAAAGAATTTAAAAATTATTTAAAAATTTTGTATAAATTAAAACTCGAAATTTTATATATGCTAAAACTCGGTTCCTCCGACACTGTTTCACGTGAACAGTGAAATGTCGAAAATGCCCTTTGCTTCTTCTCACTCTCACGTTTTGTTGTTTGCATGGTAGAGCAAAATTCCGGTTTTGCCCATCTTTGCCACACTTCACTCATCGTTTAACACTCTGTTTTTGTTCCTTGTTCTCCATCTTTCTTCCGGCTTCCGCTTCTCTCTTTCTTTAGCCTCGCGTGGATCATCGTCGAAGGCTCCGTTCCTTCCTTTTTCTCTTCCTCTGCTCACGGGAGGCAGTTTCTCGAAATTTTCAATTTCAACTTCCAGATTTAAGAATTTCGAATTTGATTTTTCATACTCTGATTATTTTTTGCAAAGGTTGTATTAGTTTTTCATCATCTGGAAATTTGGGGGTTTCTTACGGCACAATGTTATCAAATTCGATTTTTCTAATTTTTGAATCTGGGGTTTTGCAGGGGGTGCTAATATACTGATTTTGTGGAATTTTTCTTCTTTGCAGGGGTTTTCTGGCTGATGAAATACCTTTGCCATCACTCTCCAGGTATGATTATGTTTATGTTTTTTTCTATTTTCAATTTATGTACACTGGCTTTTGAAGGTATATAAACTTAAATTGGTATTACTTGACAAGTGACCCCTGAAATTTATTTGCCTATAGCTATTCAAAGTGCTTCATGTATAAATTCATCTCACACTTTCTTGACAGGGGAGAATCAGACCATTGAGTGGGTTATGCGACCAAGAGTTGCTCTGAACATTGCTGAAGCATTGGATTACTGCAGTAGTGAAGGCCACCCATTGTACCATGACTTAAATTCTTATATGGTTCTCTTTGATGAGGTGATGTCTCCAATTTCCTTTCCCAAATTTGTTTATTTTTATTATAATTATTATTTATTATACTATTTTTATACACCTTGCTGAGGGATTATTTATTATACAATTTTTTAAACACGGGATAAACTGAATTCTGACCAAGTCAATGAGTAAACTTATATGAATAAGGAGTTATATTGTATAATCTGATGAATAATTAATAATATATGTATATGTTATGTTATAAATTCTATGTACTGCAAATCTATCACTAAGTCTAAATTCTCAGTGCAATTAATAATATATGTATATGTTATAAATTTATATGTGTATGTTATAAAATAGATGGCATGAATGATATATGTATATGTTATAAATTTATATTTACATTGTCTAGATGAGGCTGAACCAAAGTGTAAGGCAAAACGTTGGCTTCACTGGAAGAAAGAAAAAAAATCTGCAAAAGGGGCAACTGAAGTGATGGAAATTGGAGACAAAATGAGAAATTGGATGCTTTTTATCACAATGGACAAGTCGTTACAAACTAATCATACTGGTACTAGAAATTTAATTTGTATTTTAGAATTGGCATTTTTCTTGATGTTCACCTGCTTGGAAAGGTTTTTGAAATTTTATTTTAGAATTAGTGTTCTTTTTTATTTAGAACAAAGAACAATAATTTCCTTCTTACATTCCACATGTATGGAAATATAGTATTGCCTATTGTTAATGAACAATGAGACATCAATCACATGTGCGTACATGGTATTTCCGATTAGAACTTCTGACATGTGTGATATAATTTTAAAACCCGTAGCAACGCTCGGGCACCAATCGCTAGTATAATACTAAATTTACCCAAAAAAAGGAAATATAATATTAAATTATTTAGAAAGGATGAAAGAGTGGGGATATGCCTATGCCTATATGCTAGGCTTATGGTGCCTCTGCCTCTGAGGAATAGTTGTGATCTTTAATTTGGATAAAATTTGAAAAATTTCATCTATCTCTTCTTTCAAAATGTCTGCAATGTAGCGAATGGTTATGTCAAAGTTAATTCAAATATAGACACATTATGTAAGGCCATCTCTAACCGAAGGGTCCAGAGGATCGAAAAACTCTTGAAAATTGTCTTTAACCGAGGGTTAGGTCAGAGGGCTTGTGGGCCCCACGGAATCTGAAAAGGCCAAAGGGCTAGCCCAATCCAGCCAACCTTGGGCTGGCCAGAAATGTGAGCATTCTTGTCGGATATGACCGACAGGAATGGTAGGCCAAATTTTCAAATGTAACAGCTAACTGACGTCAACTAGCTGTTATTTTTTAATTTTTTTTTACAGTTTTATTTATATTTCTTTTATTTACAAATTTCTTTCCTATAACTTCCATTTTTAAATTCTATTTTTTTCTACAACTTCCTATAACTTCTATTTTACAAAGTTTGTTTCATATTTTTTTTTTTAAATTCTATTTTTTTCCTATAACTTCTATTTTACAAAATTTGTTTCATATTTTTTTTAAATTCCATTTTTTTTCCTATAACTTCTATTTTACAAAATTTGTGTCATATTTTTTTTAAATTCCATTTTTATCCAACGGCTAACTGACGTCACTTAGCCGTTGGATTTGAATTCAAGTTGTAATTTTTAAATAATAAATTATGTTTGGCCCTATGACCCTTTGTCCCTCGGTTGGAGACGGTTTTTTGTGACAGAGCTAAAACAAGCCCTATGGCTTTTTGGTCATCGGTTAGAGATGGAGGCAAATATGACATTATACTGTTCATTAAAATATTAATTTGTTGGAGGGCTGGAGGGCTAAAACAAACCATCTGGCCGGCCTTCGGTTGGAGATGGCCTAAGTATGAATTAATTTATCTCCACCAATGTCCTATTCACTTGCCCTCTGATGATGTCTTATTAATTAGACAGGAAAGGCCTCGAGATTGGATTGAAATGAATATCATGTATTATGAAGATAGATGATAATTATTTTTCATTTTGAGAGGATTAGACATAAAAAAAATTTTCTCTTTTAATTCTCTTATTTAGAAAAGGATAGTAATGAATAAGTTTTCTTTTTCGGTAATTCATCTACTACCTTCATGTTGACCACAAAATTTTCATTTCTTCTTTCAACATCTATTAAAAATAGTGGCATATCCATCTAATCCAATCTTCTACACCAAACAGGCTCAAAATGTGATCCTATCGAATGTACTTTATGCACTTCTATTGTCCCAAAAAACATACAAGCTCTAATCAGATAGTCTTTATCGAAATTTTTATTCTAGATAACTAATTACTTCTCCATATTTGTAATGTCGATTGAACAATTGTAGGTCATTCTGGCTCCAATATTCAAATACTAACGTGATCATTTTCATAACCTACCGACACGGACACTTGCATTGCAGATTCAAACATCAGTCAAAAGTGAAAAGCCAGCAGGGACCCCTCTTTGTATTAAGTTTTAACCAAACCACTTTGAATCTTCCTCCACCACAATCCAAAGTAAAATGTAACAGTCACTACTTTTGACCCTAGGGACTTCACTTTGAGAATCATCAGTTTTACGAGAGCAACTTTGTATGAACAAGATTTACAATTGTATAAGTCTGATTCATCGCGGTTGTAACATTTTTTTATTTAATATATTGTTATGTGACGAAAATTTGTACATTATAAGGTATTACAGGACTAGAACACCACATGAAAGTGAACTCACTCTCAAGTCCTTGTACAGTTCTGTTGTTCAAGGAGGCAGATTCTATACCCTCCCACTTCCCGTGCTCTCATGTTTGTGTGATCACGGTTAAACCACGTCAACATTTTATATTACTATTTATTTTTGTCTTATTATCTCTATAAAAAAATATAAAATGTTGACGTGGTTTAACCGTGACCACACAAAACAGGAGGGCACGGGAAGTGGGAGGGCAGAGAATCTGCCTCTGTTGTTCATAGGTCTTGGTCTCGGAAAAGAATCCCCTCCGGTTCCGTTATGTGGAAATCTTAGGAATTCTTACATCTTAACCGTTCATCGTGTATCGTGCGATCATAAATTATTTAACTTTTATTATTTTAAATTAAACATAAATAGTACCTAACAAAAACTGGCCGCATAATACACGATGAAGTGCTGAGATATGAGAATTCTTGGTATCCCCACATAATGGATCCGGAGGGGATCCTTTTCCCTTAGTCTCACATCTCTCCCAGTGTGGCAGTTTGAATTTAATGCAAGATGTGATATGGCTTAACCAACTTATAACTTTCATGAATTAGTTTGTCAACTTATCCTACCCCCCCTCCAAATCGCAGTCCAAGTTAGACTTTAATATATATGTATATATATATAAGGTAGTTATATTCATACTTTTCTTTTTACCTTTCAAACATCTCTATTAATATCTTTTCATTAATCTTCTTATTTTAGTTAATTCGATGATCAAAATTTAAAAAAAATATAAAAAGTAAAAATAAATATGTAAATAGCACTGCTTTATTTATTTTCATGGTGTTTCATGGGTGACTTTTTTCGGTTACACTTTGGTCTACTTTAATAAATGAGATATATAACAAAACTTAAAATTAAATTAATTAACAAAAAATAAAAGTCAAATTAAAAGTGGATTATTCTCCCCGTGTTTGAAAAAATGTGCAAACTAAGAAATGTGAGTCTTAGTTTCTTTCATCACCAAGTGAGACTTCTTGTTTGAAAACTCATCCTCCTCCCCTCTTTTCCTCATCACCTCCCCCACCCCCACCCCCCAGCTGCACCAACCAGAAGCAAAAACACAGAAGAGAGAGAGAGAGAGAGAGAGGATGAGATGATGACATGTCAGCCTATAATATTTAACAGGATCACGCACGTCCATCATCACTCACTCACTTCTTGTCAAAATATTTTGAGTTTGCGTTCACTCAATCTCCAGTACTGCATTACTGTTACTAGCTAGCTACCTCTATGATCACAGCAAATACTTTTGGATGGGACAATTTCATCTCATTGGATTGAATATAATTACAACATATATAACTTTACTTCCATTACATGTGAAAATTACATGCAGAATTCAATTTAAAAAAAAAAAGCAGGATTAATTCCACAAAAATCGCAGAGAATATGAATTAATGTTTGATTTTCTTTTTCCCCCTTACAAAATTCCCATCAACATTAACTTGCCAAGCTATTTTATGCTTGCTTCTCATAAAATTAGACTGCATAAACAAAAAACAAAAAAACAAAAAAAACAAAAACTGTGAATATATATTCATCAACCCCATCTACATTACCCATCACCAATATTAGTTCTCTGAGTTGAAGAAGATATGTGAGCAGCAGCAGCCACATCTACCTTTTTTCTGTAGAAATATATCTCTATATCTTCTTCAAGGTGAGAGCTGCGAGGAGCTTTGTAAACCAATTGCATTGTGCTTCCTGGAAGGACCAGACGGTGGGATAGGCCTTGCTTTTGGTAAGAACGCAAAAAAGCTGCCGTCATGCAGTTTCTGATGACCGGATCTGCCGCTAGGCTTCATTACCTTGAAAACTTGACTGCTCCGATGAAGTACTCTAGAGCTTTGAGTGTGGCCGACCAGAAAGATGAGCAGCAATACCGCTACTACAACCAACAGATCATGTTTCTTTCCCATTTCACCAAACAAGTGAAATGAAAAAGCCTAGCTATATAGGAAGAAATACAACAAGGAAGAGCAAATCGAGAAAGAGAGATGGGGCCGCGGAGGAAGGGAGGAGGGAGGGGGTGTTTTGTTGTCGTCCAGCCTGAAAAGTGCAAGGAAGTGAGAGATTAGTAATAATGGTGGCACAAACTACAAAGACTGATTCCTTGTACTTTATAGATATTCATAATATTGGGTACATAATGTTCACTATATACCTGAAGCGGTTGAGAGCATTTACTTTTCTATGCACTTGAGATTCTAAACTCTCTCCAGATGTAAATAAGAAATTAAGGAACAAGCTAAGTAGTTTTACGAATAGCTTTTGGGGTATGAATGAATGATTGTGATATGAAATGGTATATAACTGAATCAGTTGATAACATATATATACTTCTGCATGCACTCCGAGATTTTTTGTTCAGTTCGCCCCTCCCCAAATATAAATAAATAAGAACGGAAGAAGCTAAAGTATTTTGGTGAATGGCTTCGGGGTATATATGAAATGGAGGCACAAATACAAAATAATGAGGGAGGGAATGTGGAAACACGAGGAAATAAATGCAGAACTGAGTCATATGCCTTTAGATGGAGATGTTGGCTCTGTACATGAATTTGTGTGTGTGACTACTAAGCAAGGTGAAAAATCAAACAAAGGTAACATGTGTAGTAATAGTGTTTGAACCTTTTTTTATAGATTACTTGAACGGGTCTTTAGGAGGTTTGTTTCCGAGTTACCACCAAAGGTCTGATCTGATGGAACAAAGAGGCCAAAATAAGGGATATATGATGGGAAAGTTTAATGGAAAGAAATTTGGTAGTGAAAAATGGGAGGGTGTAGGATGGTTAGGTGAACGTGTGGGTCTCCATCGCAGTTAATGGCCGACTAACAGTTCTCATGTGTAGATCTTGCCCAAATTGAAAAACTTCTCCTTACTTCAAGCACTAAGGTAGAGTACAAGTATGTTGGAAATTTCAGTAGTTTGAGTAGAAATTTCTTTGTCCCACATTGGTAATTTCTAAAAGATTTTATTACTTTATAAAGCTTTGTT